GCCCTCAGTATCCACCCAAAATATGGAATACATTTAGCTCATGAAAAACTCAATCCTCAGTCCTATGCCTCCTTTCCTCTTCTCTTTATTTACTTTCTCACTTATTATTTTTCCGACTTCCTTCCTTCTTTTCCTATTCTCCTATTTTGTTTCCTCTCCGGTATTCCTCTGAACACCTTCGAGCCTCGTTTTTTATGAGCCTTCTTTATAGTTGCTTTCAACATCCTTCAGCTGGTGGGCGGCCCATTAATGTGACTGGAGGGAAGGAGAGTTATGACGAAGCCTCGAGCACAGTGTTGGAAATGGGTCAGTCATAAGTGTCATAAAATGTTTGAAATTTTGAGGTACTCGAAATTCTCTCTGTCAAAAATATCATCGATTCTCCGTCGTCAATTATTTTGTTCAAATCCTTTACGATGGATGTTAAAGAATTATACTTTCCTATAAAAAGAGTTTCATTAGAGAAATAAATGAGTCAATTGCGCAAGTCAGAGAAGGATGTTCCAATAGTTTTTTCTTGGTTAGAAATATTCCAAAACTAAGAATGAAAACATGATGGGTAATTTAATTCATTCGTATTGATGCTTCCTTCAGTTTCTCCGACCGCAATAGAATCAATACGTATGTATGTGTAACAGCCACTGCAATTTTTTGTTCCCCAAACTGAAGTTTTCCAACTAAAGTGATGAAGGTGAATTGCAATATCACTTGCTGCAGTTCCCTACCGTAATTTAACAAAGAGCGCGCGAAGGGAATGGTTTATATTTAATATTAGTTAAAGAGATTTAAGTGAAGAGATCATTTTGAGCACGGAATTGCGAGCGATGCCGTCATTCACAGCAATAAATGACCTTTCCATTACTTTTGGTCTCAAGAAACTCGAAATGTTGCTTGATCTTGTTATTAATTGGCTATTCGATAAAGTCAACTGTTAAAACACATTCAGAAAAAGACGCATCTAACTCATTTAGAAAAGAAATTCCCTTCTCTATCGGACACATAAATGTTTTCTAAATTGTTTCAGGTCATCTATTTATGAAAAGCGGTGCTTTTGCGATGAGAGAGTTTCCTCAGTTATCATATTTGAGCATAGGATTTATTTTGAAGCCGAAAGCCGACACAAAAATCGATGACTTTGACTGATCGCTGCACTCTACCGCACAAATGCCGTGCGCGGATCGTCGAACACGGATAACATTTGAATTAGTGAGAACGAAAACACCAACTCAGTAAAACGGGAATATAAAGACACACAGAAAACTGCACAGTGAGTAAAGAAGTTAGTCCAAGAAAAATATTTTTGGTGCCGAAAGACAAGTACTTAAGAACACTTTAACGGTCCAAGTCGTAAGAGATGCGCTAACTTCAACGACCTTTACGAAAATTGACTGTTCTTAATACAAATTATGAGCATTTTCGAGTTATCGAGTGGTGTGTTTTCGCTCTCGTACTAATTCATTTAAAAATGGCATTTCCAACGAAAAAATTTTAACCATCAAGGGCATTTTTGCATTTAATGGAGTGTCACTCGAGAAAATTGAGATCGTTTATCCGATTGTACATTTAACACGGTCAAACTTCGAGTACCCTAGGGTTTTATCATCTAAACTGAATTCTAACACCTATACGTAAACGTACGCGCATTTAAACCGTCGGAATGAGTGCAAATGCAATGCACCAATAATTGATAAGTTTGCGCGGGAAGACAAGGTTAGATAATGTTGGCCGCGAAAAATAATTTTTAAACTTAATAGTGTTATAACTTGGCGTCATTCACGAGGTTGTTCCCTTCATTAGTCCCCGAGGTGCATGCCGTTCACATATGAGAAGCTGTTTTGTATTTTTATTGCTGCGTATCACGCAGGTGAGTGGACATATTTTCATGTTGATGTATAGCATGTTGTGGTTTTTTACAAACTAGATTTTGACGTGGAAATTATGCCTAATTACTTCTCTAATGACCTGTCACTCATCTTTGAAACCTCTTGATTGGCCGAAGCGACGCGACGCGACGCGACTTGCTATGAAACGAATTAAAAGGATTTTCTCCAAATCATAATCCATCAAATTTATAACCGAGATAGTTATTCATCTATCAAAAATCGAATCATTACAGGGTTTTTCACCATTCTTCTCTTCTACTATGTTTCTCCTCCGTACACGATTTTAATACATGCCATCACGCATATGTGCTTTTTCTACATCAATTTTCAATGAATGATTTATTTGATAGGAAGGTGATGTAATAGCTTCTATTACAATGTATCAGTTCAGTCAATTGATAAAATGCGTGAGTATAAACAATGACCCTATAGATCAGTTCACTTAAGATGGTTTTTGATAAAAAGAAAATCATTACCAGTGTCAGGCATAAAGGCGCATCAGTAAGACCGTTAGGCAAAAACAATTCAAGCAGAAACGCATTTTAATGCCGTGCCTCTCGAATGTTCATACGGCATTCTTCCTTAGCACGGCAGCATAGCAAATGACATTTTTCTCCATGAGGGAATGTCGTAGTCAAATGAGCTTTTTCCTATTTGTAATGAAAATTTCAGTTGTATATTGAATTTTAACGCGCGTTGGCAAAATCACCAACACTCTTGTCTAAAAAAAGACTTGTGTGTCGATTCGCAAATTGCTTGTACCAAAAAAAGTTCGATGCATAGGGCAGAGCACGTTACTTCCTTCCCCCACTTGTTTCCTATAAATAAAAGAAACTCCGCGTCTTTAATTCCCAAAAAATAAGTTAAGAAATTGAATTTTTCCGATTCAGTTTTGAACCAAACCATCCTCTTGATTAAATTCAATTATCAACAATTGAAAATGCTCGATGTCTCTTGATTATTTAATTGCAGGGGCAAAAGCAGAGGTTAACATGGATCATAAATGTACTGTAATGAGTAGAAACTTCACAGCGGTATTTTTCGACTTAGAAACTACTGGTCACTATAACCGGGATGAGATAATACAAATTGGAGCCATAACTAAGGACAAGATTTTTTGCAGGTATTTCGGAATATAATTTAATTATGACGTCAATTTTCAGTCTAGTATTAGTTTTAAAAGCTGCGATGCTCTGTATCCTTCATTAAAGTGCCTTTAAGTATCTATTTAAACACTCAGAGCTATCTTCAAAATTGTTCACTCTGTATTCCTAATTGGAAAAAAAGTCGCTTTGATCTAGAGTCCAGATTCTTAAAAACATTGACAAGAAAGAGTATTCTTGATTCAATCGGATTTTTCCTTGAATCGAAGATCCAAGCCTCTTGATTTAGACGGATTTCCTTTTGATTCAAGGAGAATTCCGCTAGGTTCAAGAGTGTTTTTTCTTGTCAATGTTTTTATGAGTCTGGACTCTAGATCCAAGCGACTTTTTTCCAGTTTATGTACAAAAAGGACATTTCTTCAAATTTACAGACATATTTCTTAATCTATTTATCAACAATACTCCTCAAATGCTATAATTTAAAAGTGCAACTCTTTAATTCGTTTTTTTTTCTTTCTTCCCTCCTTTTCTCCGTCACGAGTAGGTATATGCTTCCTACGGGTGAGATCACAGCACGCGTCGCTGAAGTGACCGGATTCACTAAGGTGGGAAATAAGCTTCGCTACCGTGGCGAAGTCAAGGAGACGACAACACTGAAGAAGGCGCTAGAGGATTTGCTAGAGTATCTAGGACAGTTCAACATGCCCGTCATCATGGTCGGACAGAATTGTCTCACTTTCGATTGTCGTTTCATTGTCAAAGGCTTGAAGCAGCACGGCCTCCTGGATCAATTTGCCAGGATCGTACAGGGCTTCACCGACTCATTGCCCCTGCTGAAGAAATACCTGCCTGGTAGATCATCGTACAATCAGAAAGACCTCGCCGTCGATATCCTCGGCCCAAGCTCGAATATGATGGCTCATGAAGCTCTCGCTGACGCTACTACGCTTATCTCTATTTTCCGGAAAGAAAAAGTACCACTCTCTCAAATCTTCGAGTTTGCCCGCTCTATAAAAGACGTGGTACGTGTTGTTCGTTTTATTTCATTTACTCTGAACTTTACGTTGCTAGTTCAGCACGATTTCTACTTTAGGCTAAATATGTGATTTGATAACAAACCATCCATGTTATTGGTTAGCGAGACGTTAACAAGGACTAGCACCTAGTTCGCATCGTCCTATTTGCACGTTCTTCAAGATGAATTTACTATACAAAAAATTGAATCAGCACTAATAGAACAAATTACAACCGTTGGTGAATTGTATTTTTAGTTGAAATGGCAGTTTTACACGCACGGTCGATTCAACCAAACTTCACGCGTACGTTATTATTTCCGCCAAATCCAAAACGGACCTATTTGTTACTGGTTCTGCATTTGTTTACCGGGCTTAATTGGAATTCCTTGAATTAAAAAATTCAATGAACGTTCCCCTTTGATTTAAATTCAAATTGTTTTCAAAGTAATTTGAAAAAATGTGTCGTCATCATTAAAAGTAATGTTTTAAACACCCAATGTTGCAAAAATTACGCTACTTTTGAAGGAGGTAAAAGATTAGCTATGAAGGAGAAGCTTTAATGCAGAATCACGACGTTTACCGTCTCCAAATTTGCTAAGAACCAATCAGAAAGATGACGGTAGACCTCTGTATCCTAATTTAACTTACTCGCTCGTACCTCTCTTAATTCACAGCTGAAAAGAGAAGATACTCGAATAACCGCGCAGAATAATCTGTTGACCCTTGGAACCTTGAGGCCACTCATCAAGGACTCAATGCTGAGAAAAATGGCTGAAGCAGGACTTGACCTGGAATATTTGAAAAAGTGTCTCGATGCAGAGGGCCCGGAGGGATTAGCACGGTACCTCTCCGAAATTCTAGAAGATGGCAAGCCTCGCGTTACGCTGAATAAACGGATTTTAAAGGACATCTGCGATGCAGTCAAGCAAGCTGTAAGAATTAGGCAATAAATCTCGGAACGTTAGCTTTGAGTACACAAAAGACCGATAGGAACAAAATTCACATACCAAGAAAGTCTTACGAAGTTCTGTTTTAATCAGGAAAAATGCACTTTTCTAGGTCACAATTTTCAATGAAGTTACATCACTTTAGGTTTAGCGCAATTGAAGGTAACTTCCTATTATTAGAATGTAGGGAAAAAACTAGAGTAATAATCGTGTGTATAACGGCAGTTGCCCGAAAAACCTAGAGGAGTGCAATTATTTGCTTCTCCGACAGAAACCCTACGATGGCTTATTTATTTACGCTCTAAACATTTCTTTCCTTTTTAATACTCGTTTCTTTCCTGGGAAGACCGAGACTTACACCCATGGTCTTAGAAAGCGAATTCCTGGAGGCAAGTCTTCGTCTTCCCCTTTTTTCAAACCAGGGACGGAATCAATTATTCACCGGTAAAAAGTCTTGGACTACTCCCTGTTTGCGGCGCTT